TTACTGCAAAAGAAATTGACTCTTGTTTCAAAACTGAAAAAAATAAATAAATAAATAAGAAGGAAGTTCCACAGGAAATTTTTCCAAATAAGAGACAGATGATGCAAACAGCAGTATTTGGTTTCCACCCGGGCATGTCCTTGTTTCTTATGTTCCTCATAGAAGCAAAGCTGTAATTCTTCTTTCTACTGTGCATAATGATGCTAGCATTGATACCACCACAAATAAAGCTGAAACAATCATGGATTATAATGCTAGGAAAGGAGGAGTGGTCACCAATAAACTGTGTGCAATCTGTAAAATTTGGAGAATCACAAGAAGATGGCTTTGTGCTATCTTTTTCAGTCTTCCAGGATTAATGCTCAGGTTTTGCACATGCTTGCAAAGCCAGCTCACACAGCACCATGCCAAAGGATCTTTTTGAAGAATTTATCTGTTAGTCTTATCAAAGAGGATCTTCATTTGCGCACCAAAATCCAAACATTACCTTCCGACATTTCAACATTTCTAAGTCATAATCATAAGCAATCCTCATCAAAACAGAGAACATGTATTTTGTATGTCAGACAAAAAAAGATCATCAGAATCTATGAATGCAAGTCATGCCTTATATATACGTGCAAACGTCATTCTGTTACCGAATTTTTTTTTTTTTTTTTCATGGAATGCAATGTGAACTTCATACATTGAGAAATATCTTTAGAATTATGTTTTTCGATTATTACTCTGCTCTATTCTATTTCTATTATTACTATTCTTTTATTTTTTTTATTTCTATTTTTTAAAAAGAATAAAAATATTAAAATTGAAGTTAGTTTTTGCAACCAGTAAGAAGTAAATTTCCTTGCAGAAGTAAGTAATGCTAAGCTTACATTACATAATGTAATACCTAATTTCATTAGATTTCTTAATTGGAAGTCAAAAAAAATATCCATGTTTCCAGTGATAATGTGTTGGTGGTGTTCATTTTTAAGTGGAAGATTAGTACTTTGCAGTAACAGTTTGCTATAGAATAGGTCATAGTGGCTTGATAAGCCAGTTGCTTAAAGTTTTTTGATATTTAAAACAAGTAAAGTAACTTCAAGACAGTTAACAAAGTAACACTAACTTCAAAGTGGTTAGTGTAAACTGCCTCAAGTGATGGTGACAGCTATGGAAGATAATACTGAAATTAATTTTATCAAATAAAAAAATTTTTTAATTAATTTTGCAATAATGCTTGGTGGATTTATTTCTGTTATTTGTTGCTTTAAATTTACAAAACAAGTACTAGGTTTTTAGTGTAATGTAGCCTTTACAGTTAACCGGGGGGGGATAGTTTTATTAAGGAATTGCTATTGAAGGTGTGCAACCATTTTAAAAGACTTTTGGTGAAATTTGTGGTATTAAATAAATTGTCGAAGTTGGCCTATAGTTCAGTAATATCTAATGCAGAAAATAATTTGCATTCTTTCTTCCTCCTCTTTTGCCTCACAAAGTTTTTGTACTGAATAGTTTAAGTTGGCTGTAAATAGTAGAATTAAAATCTTTAGTGTCTTGAAGATAGATATTAAGTCCATTAGGGTAAAGTGTCTTTAGTTGCAGTCTTGTAGAGAGATTCTTGAAGTAGTCTTTTTTAGACACCATATCTAAAATTTTACTCTCAATATATATATATATACAGTACAAAGTCTGTAATCCGGACTCGTCGGGACTACTTCGGCGATTCCGGCTTAGGGGTTTTTCTGGATTATAGATCATCGATTTAAATTTGGTAAGATGGCATGCAGAAATTATACAATTAAAAATATGAAACCGTAATCTATGAAATAAAGAGCAATTATGATCTAAAGGGTATAACAAAATTTACAAAAAAAGAGCTTAATATTTATTTGTTTACTTTATTAAACATTTCTTTCAATGTAAGTTGTTTAAGTTGCTTCGTTTTTTGTGCTAATACTTTCTCTTTAATTCTATAAACAGACATAATTTCTTGTTCAGTTAAAAAGTTCCACTGATCAAGTCCTGTAATTGCTGTGTCGAGAATACCGACTAACTTGTCAATCGAAATTTTTTTCATTTTCAATAACCTCTCTGTCACTTTCTTCACTATCAGAAGTGGTATTTTCTGGATCTAGAACCATACTACAGATTTGCCCTCCATTAATTGATTGATGATTGGGGCATTGTCGTTGCAATGAAAAACTTCTGTTATATCATCTTCATTTATTACTGCTTCTCCACATTTCTTTTAAAAATCCAATAACTGGAAAATTTCACCTTTAGTTTGCGATGTTCGAAAACTTTCAAATTCGCGGCTATCATCTTCATCGTCCTCACCATGAAATATGGTAGCTGGCCGTATGCCAAGCGTTTTTTAATGTATCTAGAGACACATCCTCCCACGATCTTGCTATGCTCCACACAGCAGATTTTATGCCAAAAAATTTCAAAAAGTCTTGAATAGTCTTGCCATTGTTCAAGAAATTTAACATAGATTTTAAAAATGCTACTTTATATTTGCATTTCAGCGCCTGCACTATTCCCATATACATAGGCTGAATGATAGACGTAAAATTTGGAGAGAAGAATAATATGGATACATTATCTTTCACTAAAACTTTAAGTGAAGTATGCGCCGAACAGTTGTAAACAATCAGGACTATTTCTGAGTCATCAGATAAACCAACCGAATTCAAATGTTGCCAAGCCTCAAGTATAAAATGCTTTTCAAACCAATCATTCATCAATGCTTGTGTCATCCATGCTCTTTTATTTGTGCGATATGTAACGGGGAAAATTGTTACTCCCTTAAATGCTCGAGGTCATGCATGTTTTAAAATTATGAAAAGTTTGCACTTGTGAGCTCCTACAGCATTTGCACATGCTAAAATTGTTAGTCTCATTTTGGAATCCTTGACACCAATTGGAGCCTTTTCTGTAGAGGTTGTTAAGGTATTTGGTGTTGCATATTGCCAGAAAAGATCAGTTCATCAGTGTTGTTCCAGAATTGGAAACTCTTTTTGACTAATCAAAAGTTCAAGCTTAATTTTTATAAAATTGCTCTAACAGTTTGCAAAAAATAATAAGCTAGATCCACTTAGAAGATTAAGGAACAGAGCAATCTGCAACATTAATTGAAATGCCTTAGAATCAGTAAAGATAATTTTAGCCTAGCTTATACCGTCCGTCATACATTAAATGTGCATGCGTAAACCATACCAAAAAAAAAGTTTGTGGCTTTGAGGTCCGGATTATAGATTATTGCGGATAATGGACGTCCGGAGTACGGACTTTGTACTGCATATGTAGTGTTGCATTCTATGGGTTCGTGGATTTGGAGTAATTGATGGTAAGCACTATTACACAGGACAGTTCCAAAGAGACGTTACTGTCATAAAAAAGCTCTTAGAGAGTAAGGATATTGAACGTATGGATTGGCCGGCACGATCTCCGGATCTCAATCCCATCGAGCATGTATGGGATTTTCTAGGCAGACGATTGGCAGCTGGTAACTTACCACCAGTAACGATTCCGGAGCTTCGATTGGCGCTGCAAGACGAATGGGCAGCAATGCCTCAACAACTCATTGACACCCTCATTCTCAGCATGGGCAGACGCTGTAAAACCTGCCTAGCAGTCAGGGGAGATCATATCCCCTATTAAAGACCGGATGTTTCTTGCTGGACACCCATCACAGGGATGTTTCGGCCTTCAGTCGCATTGCGCTCCATGCTACTTTTTCAATAAAGCTGCTTTTTATCCCTCTGATTTCTCTTTTTAGTAAGTGTTGCTTACATTACTCATGTCCTTACGTTTTGGGGATCTTATGGTATTAAATGTGTTGATTTGGAAAGCTTTTGTACAAAGTTATATTGAAAAAACCGTCTCGTCCTTAATTTTTGCACACCAGTGTATATTGAGGGTAAAAATTTAAATCTGAATCAGCTATTTCATTTCCATCTCCAAATTTAATTAATCTAAATGTTAAACAATTGCCCATCTTGCTGAAAACATGACTTTTGAATTTAACCCCTTAACTGCTGCGGAAAACGTACAAGATTCATTTCCCATTGCCACGGTTTTCACACAGGCGCGCGTAGTTATGCGTTGTATTAGGGGGAAAATAAGTGCAAGTTTTACTTCCTAAAAACTGTTTACTTTCACAAAATAAAGAATAAAAGAAAAAATGAATGCACAAAATTTGAGTAAAAGTATAATAAAAAGATGTAAGTATAATAAAAATGAGGGTTTTATAATAAAAAAAGTCCCTAAATGGAGTTTCGATCAATTCATTTTTAGACCAGTAAAGTCTAATATCAGGTTTCAGTGTTATACCTTGGGAAATCAAGTATGCCTAAAAAAACATATTTCTTCTGAACTGGTTGAATGCCACGATTTTGTTCTTGATTTTTTGTTTGCAAGGTGTTAGTTCATATACTCGTCTACAAAATGGTTAGTTTCAGTAACAATATGAAGCACGAGCAGTTCAAAAAATAATTCAAAAAAGATAAATGAGTTTGAAACATCCGTTATATCTTTCTTTATTCCTGGAACCTACTACAAAAAGTAAACGAAAATGGAGGACACAGGACGAAAAAAAAAATACGTTTTACTCAAACAACACTAGCCAAATACCGCGCAGTCATTACTTTCACCGCTTTAGACACACCTCTCTCTCCAATTTCTCCCCACACTTCTCTGAAATAGTATTTTCCTTCGCATATTTTGTCAAGGTCATTGTGGTGTTGCATTCCAAAGCTTTGCGAATAATTTTACGTGTAGCAGCGCAAAGCAAATGATAGCAGTTTGGAAGGACGTATATATACGCCTGGGGCAGTTAACGCATCGGCTGAGCAAGGCGTATATATACGCCCGCAGCAGTTAAGGGGTTAATACACATAAGCTTTAACCAAATGAACAAATATAAATGCAGTAATATTAGTATTTAGTAAATTAAATGCTTTTATATTTTTCTTCTAATCATTTGTGAATAAATAGTTTTGTATTCATTCTTTTAGTTCACACACATATGAAGGATTGGCTTTCTTTTTGGCATATATAGTACATATAACTGGCAATTTGAATCCAGATGAAATATGATGCACCTGAGGTATGATTGTTATATTTATATTTTTTTCCTAATCTGAGCATTCCACATTTTAACTTTTGTTCTACAAATTCACTTTTATATCTTAAATATGTATGAGGCAGAGTATATCTGACCATTTGCACTTTTGAATAGGAAATACCGTTAATATATTTATCAATATAAGCAACTGTTGTGTTGAAATAGCATCGTAACTGCATTTTCAGTAAATTAAATCTTTTTCAGACAATAAATTATTTCAAAAGCCATATAATATATTTATGTATTAGTGCCTTGTACATCTTTTAAAATAAATTTCTCTTCTTTCAGTAACCAGAGGGAATTATTCTGTCAAATCCTCCAAGTGTAATTCATCTAGGATCAGCAAAAGACATCAGCACAAGTGTTTTAGCTGGATTAATGTTTAGATATACCTAAACTTCTCTTAAAAGACGAATGAAATCATCTGAATTTGTCAATAATAATTATGAAACAAATGAGATATTCCAAGATAAAAGAACTTGTAAATATTCACTGCCATTGTTCACTGATTCTCTGAATGCTGCACGCTGAGTGCAGATATATGCCATTCTCAGCTAGGGCTTAATCCTATGTGATCAAAGCCATGTATACTGTGTGTAGTCTTGCTCAAAATATTAAAAAAAAAAAATTTTAGAAAGTTTCCTTTTAATGGATTTTGCTTTTAATAAGTCTTTAAAAATTTCAAGTTGATGGATTACTGTCCATATATGTATGATTTTGCCACCAAATGCAGTGCAATATCTCTGATTTTAATTGCAGTGTTTACTTGGGCCCAATTCTGTCTAAGTTGTTCATGTGTTTGGCCATTCACTGATTATTATTGCACAAATGTCTTTATTTCCCATGCTGGCAGTCAGTTTTATGCCATCAGCATGCAGGAAAAAAATTCATTTTGAACCTAATATACTGTATTATTATATTTCTGCATTATATAATTATGGATAAAAAAAATTATAGAGAACGTCTCTTGACAAAATGTATTTGACAGGAATTCCTCTATAACTCAACATTTAGTAGCAATAAAAACATAAGGATGTGTATTGTTTTAAAACATCTTGCAATATAAATTTTCTGGAAGAGTATGCAATATTTAAATGACAAATAACAAATTATTGATAAATTGTAAAATAAGTGCCCACCAGCAGTAAAGCCACTCAACACTAGTAGTTCCGTCCAAGATTTGAATCCCATGATAGGTGTTTTCGTGGTTTTCCCCATGTGTAACATGTATATCAGCTAGTTTCCCTTAGAAAGTCCTCCACGAAGGCATACCTTTAGGCTTTGCCGTTAATCTCATAAAACCAATATTCTAAAATAAAATTATGTTAACTCCATGCTTTTTAAAATGGAATGTAGAAAATTAAAGGCTATTTTAAAAACGGGATTTTTTTAAATGATGCATTTAGTTGGGATATGTATTTCAGGGTTGCGCAACTTCTGCATATACTGTGTGGCCATAATTAAACTGACAGTGCTCACAGTGTTCTGTAGCGCGATCTATTTGCGAGAATGACGCCACATTTTGTAGGAAGATTAAACATGACGGGGGACGAAGGATTCTGCAAAAAAACTAATTATTTCCAAAAGTCACCGCTAGGGGAATATTTCGCGCTGTGTAATAGAACATAGTGTTAACAAATGCAAATCAATACGGAAATTACCTTTTATTTTGCATTCAAATGAGGTTCAATGTGGCTGCCGTTGTTGTGGACCACATATTGCATTCTGTGCACAGTATGCACAACAGCAGAAAGTAACATGTCTGCAGGAATCTCCCGTACAATCCGTGATATGTTATCCTTCAACGTAGCTAGGTCCTGGACCACTCCTTGATAGACCTTGGACTTAAGGTAACCCCATAGCCAGAAGTCGCATGGGGTAAGATCAGGCGACCGAGGTGGCCATGCAGTTGGAAAGTAGCGGCTAATGACTCTTTCTGTTGTGAATTTCTGTCGTAGCATCTGTTGCACCCGTACAGCAACGTGTGGAGGGGCTCCATCTTGCATGAAAATGATTTCCCCCAGGCATTGTCTTTGCTGAAGTGCCGGAATGACAAAGCTGTTCAACATGTGGCGATATTTCTCTCCGGTAACAGAACAGGTTTCCGGTCCTGTCGGGGTAATGTTCTCATAGAAGAATGGACCTACGATAAATTCCGCTGTGAACCCACACCAAACAGTTACCTTTGGTGAATGTAAGGGAATTGCTGTGACTGCATGTGGTGATTTGTCATCCCAAATTCGGCAGTTCTGGGTATTCACAGTTCCATTCAGGTAAAAGTGGCCTCGTCTCCCCATAAGATTTTCACGGCCAAGCATCATCCACCTCCATTCTGGCAAGAAAGGTGAGAGCAAAAGTCAATCGCTTATCATGGTCGGGGTACAGTAACTCCTGTACATGGCTGATCTTGTATGGATAGAAGTTGATAATCTTTCGTAAGATTTTCCATACCGCACTGTAAGGCATATCCATATTCTGAGCTACTCCATGAGTGCTAGAGGTGGCAGCAATATTGTCTTGTCCTCTGTCGACAATCGCCGTGGCAACTGCTTCGATTGTATCCTGTGGTACAGGTTTTTGTCCTCTTCCTGACTGAACCTTCAGAGAACCTGTTTTCTCAAACGTCACAACCATTGCTTTTAGCCCATTAGCTGACACAGGACCATTACCTTTACGCACTTTTTTGTGCATTCTAAAAGTACAAAGAGCGGCTGACACGTTGCACTGTTGAGGTAAAAGAATTTGACCAGTAATGCACGCTCGACTAAAGAAGGAGTCCATTGCACATAAACTTTAAATCCGATCGATTCGAAACGTAACACTTTGCCTTTTAAAACCCAAGCAGCTGGCACTGTGCGAATGGATGTAACGTGAATTTGAATAAAGAACTTCTTCTTCTGCTCAGCGTACGTGATATTGCAGATCACGAGACTTTATCGGTGTTTATGTAGATGTTACGCTTTTTTAAAAGTGTTGCCATATTGCACATGAACTAAATCTGAAAATATGCATAATAAAAGGTAATTTTATTCTGTATTAATTTGCATTTGTTAACACTCTATTTTCTATTACACAATGCCAAATATTCCCCTAGCGGTGACTTTTGGAATTAATTTGTTTTTTTCGCGGAATCCTTCGTCCCCCATCTTGTTTAATCTTCCTACAAAATGTGGCTTCATTCTCGCAAATAGATCGAGCTACAGAACACAGTCAGCACTGTCAGTTTAATTATGGCCACCCGGTATATTTATATATCTGGACATTTTTCTTAAAAATGTGGCTTAATCTACCTATTAAAATCTTGGCAGTTAACACATTCAGGGTGTATTTTGTACTAATATGTAATAATAGTGGAGGGTAATTGTATTATAATAAAATTATTTATTTATTATAAAGTAACCACAGAAAAAGAACAGATTAATTTTTTTAATAATCTTATCATTAATGATAAATCTGTGTCTGCATATTTCCATCAAGCGTACATAATTTTGTGTGTAATGATGCTTAGTTTTCATGAAATTGAAATGTGAAAACATTGTTTCACATAAGTATGTCAATTCAAAACAATAGTAGATATACTTCCAGCATTTGGTGATTTCGGGATACATTTCTCATTGGATATGTTTCCAAAAATCTTACTCAAGTTCTCTAGCTTGTAATGTTAGATCACTTTGTAGACTTATAATTTCATTTTCTAAGGCATTTTTCATTCTATGATAAATGTATTGGAAGTTTCTGTGGCAATATATTTTACATTTAAATCCTTTTTTAAAAGGAAAAGATAAATATTGCACCATTGTCTTTTTCAAAATGAGGAAATGTGGCATGCAATCATCTTTTTAATTTCCACAATGTATTTTACAATGTTATAATTATAATTTTGATGTTTTTGTTAGTGGTTGGAAATACAGTAGAAGTCCAGAAATCTGCAAAGCTTGGAACCAGAGGTTGTGAGGATTTTGCGGATTTCAGGACAGAAAAGATAAAGCATGATATTCGGACTAAAAGTGGAAAATAAATAAAGCATATTAGAGATACACTTAAATTAAATTAGTGTATACATTATTGCAATAATTTATTATATGCATTAAATTATTATTACATATGTAAATTGATTATACTAATTGTTAAGGATACTCTTACACAAAATAATCATATTTACTCTTTCACAGCTATAAATGTTTATTGATAACTTCTAACTGAGTTCACATATCATTCACATGGCGGTTTTCAGCCGTTCTCTTCATCTCATCTCTGCCGCTCTCCGCTTGAGGGTGCTGTTGCTACTACAGCATGCGCAAACATGCTCCCCCCCCCCGACATTGAATTGTTTACTAATTCAGAAGTCAAACAACAAAAATCAGCGTTAAATTTACAAAATTTTCACAGGACTAGTTTCGATGGTTTTACCGAACCAACATCTTCAGCTGCAAAACCGCAAATGAACCAGATAGGAAATAATGATTAGATAAGATAAGAAGCCTGGACAAGAATAAGCAAGTGGCGGCCATCTTTGGTGAAACCAGAACTAAAACATAATTTCTTTAAAAGCCGAAGGCAAATTTGGATTGGATTTAGGATCGTTAACTAGAACAGAAAGATTTTTATGAATGTGAAATGCCTCTAGAAAATCCAGTTCTCCAATGGAAGATGTTTTTTGAATAATTTTGGCAGCAGAAAACTGAAGTGGGGTTTTCGGACCAACAAATGTTGGCAACAGAAGTCTTCTGTGTTTCCTTTTTCTAACATATGCCTCATGTTCCTTGACGCGAAATTTTTAAGGCTCTCTTAGTTTGGCCAATGTTAAATTAAACCACACTGGCAGGAATCCTATAAAACCCCAGAATTCATATCCGGAATGGGGTCCTTGAGTATGGAAACTCGGAATTTTATTGATGGGAGAATAAACAACCCGAAAGTTAAATTTCTGCAAAATATGTTTCAACTTTATAGCTAATGATGGACAGAAGGGAATGACAACAGAATTTTATAATCTCCTAAAACAGAGTGTGCTTTAGTGTGTTGAGATGAGAATTTTTTACTGCTTGATTAATAATGTTGGTGGAAGCCCCTGTCAATAGCTCTTGCTTTTAAATATTTAGTTCTTCAAGGGCTAGTTGGAGGAGCAAACTTGAAGAGCACGGAAACATAGGAATAAAATGAAGCTAACTTTTTTAGTAGTCGGATGACATGATTTAAAGTGTGGTAGGCAAACCGATGAAGGTTTTGGTAAACGTAGTACTGAAGTTGGATGTGTTACTGTGACCAGAATGTCGAGCAACGGATCAAAGATTCATTGTTGAAAGCAGTAGTCTACGTACTCAAGTTTCAAAACAATTTTGATTCAATAATCATGTAGATATCGCAGGATGGACTGAGGGGCTTTCCTGGCTAATCCCTCAGTTTGCTGTAATATTTATTTTGGAAAAAAAATGTGTTTGTTCAAACAGAGTTGAGTGAGAGAAATTACTCATCATTTCGATGCAAGAGAAATGAAATTCGCGAAGTCTGGTTTCTAGACATCTTATCACCCTCACTGGGCATTGGTGAATAATGATTTTACATCAAAAGAAACATGAGTAATTACTAGGGAAATGTTTTTAACTTTTTTACAACTCTGAATTTTATTTTATGTTA